TGTGTTTGCTAATTATTGTTTGTTTGTTTGTTTTCATATGTTGACATAATGTTGTTAAGTTGAGGCGATCCTGCTTTGTATTATTGTCACACCCCCACACCGAGAACGACGAAAACGTGTTGACTTCATTTATAGTGTTATAACAATTGAATAATAGAGATCAAAGCATTACAACCATAATATTGATAAATTATAAGTTTTTACATTGTATTCAAATCGTTGTTTGTTTGATTGCCAAATAAACGTGACAAAAATATGTGATGTGATGTTGCTACGCCCCATCTTCAAAATCCTTATGAGTACCTGTTACTGATTTCCTAAGAATACAAGTAGTTTTGAAAAATTGTCAACAATTAAGTTGGTGAGTTTATACATTTTTTATGAGAAAAATCTGCCATTTTTCTTTGTAACATGTTAGAGTGTATTTCCAGAAAATCCAATATTTTTCTTGTAATGAACTATAGTTTTAGAATCCTTAATACCGATATGTGTAAGTATTCCTATACTAAAAGTAGTAATTTGTAGTTTTAATTCATATAAAACCATTTGTATGTTTGTTTCCAGAAATGCTAGTTGAACTGTACTGGAAAATGGTATAATGTAGTTTTATAATTATATAAAAATGATTAAAGATATTATGCTTCCTTGTATTGTGATAGAGTGTTCCCAGAAAATCCAATATTTTCTTTTAAAATGAATTGAAGTCTTAGACACCCTAAGACTGATATGTATACGTATTGTATTGGAAAATAGTATCATGTTGTTTTATTATTTAATAAAACTGATTGAAAATAGTGTAAGTTAGCCCCATAAACCAAATATGATTTTAATACCCCATGTGAGTTATCATAACCATGCAAGCGACTAGTGGCCTGTTACGACGTTCTTCAGGCGTCAGAATGGTATAACATTTGTCACCCCAGACTTGTCGGTCTAACTGTAGCTAACAGTTTATGTGCGTGATTGTCAGTCCCGTATAGATCTATACACAAATGTCACACTCTCCCTATAAGAGATTTTGGTTATAATACAGGACTTTAGTATGTACTCTACAAAGTACGGTGAAGCCAAATGTCTCACAAAACTATCTCACAAAACTATATCAACGGGTTTACATGTAGTGTAATGAAAACCCTTTTTTGTTTGTGGAAGTATTATCCTTCCATAGCAGTGACATAGTGTAAAATAACTATGCCTTTAAATAATTATTTTTATGTTGCATCCCGAATTGGCAAAATAGTGTAAATGACCCATAAACTATACCTATTATAGTTTATAATGTATGTTCCATTGAAATGAAAAATCCCTTATAGGTGCCATTATCATTTTACCATGATAAAAATAATATGGACTGAAATAATTATATATGTATATTTATATAATTATACACTTTTGCTCAACATGTTAAAAAAGTGTTAAAGTCTTATAAACTATTTTTATATAGTTTATCATCGTAATCGAATTTTTACCCTATATATATATATATATATATATATATATATATATATATATATATATATATATATATATATGTTTCTAGTATCTATTGTGTGCTCGTACGCAAAAATCTGGACCAACGGATGGAATAAAATCGATGACCATGATCTGAAGGTGTATGATATTAGAATATGTTAACATTTACTATATAATCACACAAATTTCAACATAAGGGTATTTTGGTAAATTAACCTATATTAAAAAAGGAAAATTTTGGATTTTTACGGATAATAATCCTCTTAATTAAATAAATATGAATTTTTCAAATTAATTCAATTTTAATTCTAGCGTAATTCTTTCAAATAAACTGAATTTATTCTGACAGAATGTCATCCATAAACTAGTAACAATATTTTCGATTTTATTCTTACAAAATATAGTTCAAATTCAGATATTTTTGATAACTAACCATATTTAAGAATTCTACATATTCTTCATATATTCGAACTTAAATACAAATTCATACATATTCTTACAGACTAATAGCCTTATACATATTAATATAGTTACATAGATTCTAACAGAATATCATCAAAAATGAGTAAATTTATTAAGAAATAGAATTCTTAAATATACTATTATTGAACAAATTCACTTGATCTTCCTCAATGGTCCAAATAATCCATTTGATTTCAACTATTCTTACAAAAATGTGATGTATTATCGTAAGAATGTAATTCTTCGCAAATATACTTGATGTTGAATTCGATTTCAAGTCTTTCTCTTGTATGATTAATATTAGATTCCTTCTTCAAGCCATTCTGAAAGGATAACATACATTACTCATTAATATTACCAATTAAGTAAATATATTTGTTATTAACAAACATTCTTAAAGACATTCTGACAGAATACATTTATATAAATAAATTATGATAGAATACAGTACAAAATATTCTATAAGAATACATATACTTTATTCTAGCAAGATATTACTTAGAGTCTAATAACTGTAAAAAAAACATGTTTATTCTGCAAGAATGATGCCATAAATATTCTCTTAGAGTGGTTTTGATTATTCTTAAAGAGTATGAAATTAATTCAAAGAAATAAAACTAAATCATCATGTTTATGGAATAACTAACCATAAGAAAAGCTAAAATAAAGAAAATAAAGACCCCATTAGACCAAAACAAACCATATTAACAAAAGTACATTGGCTAATATTCAAATGACTTATCAGTGGACATCATATACAAATGAATGGATGAAATATTTGGTTCAAGCATTTTAACAAACAACTGGTGGGCAAAATCAGATGTCGTTTTACTCTGAAGCTAGATACTAGTTTAGGGAACAAGAAAATCAAAGTTTTCTGTTAATCTGGTCATTTAAAAAGAAAACTTAGAAAGTCGAGTTTTGGGACTGTAACAAAATAAGACTTTGCCATTTGAGAAACATTAACAATCTTTAAACTAACTAGGAAAGGAAGAATCTGTTGAATTAATCTACTTATGTTGGTCGATGCTCAAGATTGATGACAAATCCTTCTTGATGATCTTGATATATATTCATACACACACAAGTACACATATATAGCTCGTCTTTAGTCTTCATGCCTTCATTCTTGCATCGAGTTAAAGAAGATGAGCAGGTTCCTACGAGGTGACTAGTGTTTGCAACAATGTCCTTGTTTACTGGACAAAAAATCGAACATGATGGAGGTGAGTGATAGCAACGACTAGTGGAGGACCGACAGTAAAGATTGCCACTGAGCTTTTGTGGTCGGCAATTGAAGGATTTAGGTTGTGGTCAAAGACGACATTTTTCTGGTGATGATAATGAAAGAGACATCTAATTTAACAAACAAATTCACCCAATTTAAAGGATATTAAAATGTTTAATATTTACCATAATTAACTGCAGCCAAGATTACTATTATACCATTTTATGGTTTATTATTGAATTTATTTTTGTTTTATTCTGATTGGTTGTTAGAGGCACACAATACTTATTGAAAACATTTGAACTATATATATATATATATATATATATATATATATATATATATATATATATATATATATATATTTGTGTCAGAAAAATCATAACGTATATGTACAAATCTTTTTATGTAAAAGTTCGCAAGTTTGGTGGTAAAACTGTTTTATGAATTTAGCATTTTTGTATAACAAGTAACAAAACGGATTTAACCATTTTGTATTTTAACACAAGTTCTCTTGTGTTTTACTTATATTTCCCCTTAAAACATTGAAAATCTCGAAAAATGTAGCGGTATAAACTCACATTGAGTGTGTTTTTGGTTTGATAACGAGGTGATGGTGATGATCTTCAAGTTAGAACACTTGAAGGTGATTGTATCCTATAAGTTTTTAACACACAATAATGTGTGTAAATTAGTTGAACTAACATGAAAGTGTTGTATAAACACTAGATTTAACAAGGAAATTTAGAATATTTCCTAAGAACTATCTTGAAGAATTAACTTCCTATGGATATTTGAAGATGATTCTGGGAATGTGTATGAATATTTGAAGATGTTAAGAACTCTTTCTTGAGAGAAAATTGGGAGAGTTTGAAGATGTAAATGAGGAATGGGGAGGGTGATTTCGGCCAAATATATAGAAGAGATGTGAGGTTGATGTGATGTTTGCATTGGTTTGTGTATTATATCATATCGAGAAAAGCACCACCAACTCAGATTGGTGATTTCGGCCTAAGCACCACCGAAATCACCTTTAAACCATAAAAATCACATGTGATTTCGGTCCTGGTATGAATTCGGTCTTGGTATGATTTTGGCCTAGATGTGATTTCAGTGTAGGCATGCGATTTCGGTCTATCACAACTGAAATCTCAAGGTTTTTGGGTCCTAAAAACCAAGAACCCTAAAAGCAAGGTGAAATTCATGATTTAAGTCCTAACTATTTGACTTTCGTTGACTTGCTTGACTTTTGTTAACCCATAATAGCCGGTTGTCACAACTGTAGGCCAAGATACCCGGATGGTCTGGTTGATACTGTAGGCCCAAAAGAGCGGTCCAACCACGTGTTGTAGTCTTAAGAGAGCGGTCCGGTCCAGGTGTACTGAAGGCTCATGTGTGCATGCATTTTATGTATATTGGTGTGTGTGGTATTTTGGTGATCTCACTAAGCTTTAACTTACAATTGTTGATTAAAATATTTCAGGAACTTCAAAGGATTGGAGGAAAACGAAGGCTTAATTGTACACCTCATCTAGTTATCATGTTTTTGAAAGATGTTACGTTTTGATACTCTGATTTTATAATATAGTTGTGAAACAATATTTTGACGATATATGTTTTATAGAAAAATGGTTTATTCCCTTTTTGAAAATGCAAAAAATTTACCATGGGTTTTTGGATGTTATGACATGGAATTGAATATATTTTGTTGTTGGATCGGGTTCCACGTGTGTTGTCCATATGATATCGTTTATCATTGAATATTTTTGACTAGTCATTTTAACAATGACAATTACCAAATCCACAACGAAAACCTCTCAAAATAACCAAATCCATAATTTTGAAATTGGTTGGATCATATCCAAGATTTTACAATTTTGTGAAGATAAAGAAATTTCGTTTTGTTTGTTTACCGTCGTAATGGGATATATTAGAAAACTTAATTCAAAAAAATCTAGGACTAAAATCTATAAAAACTAGTTCACATGTGGTTACATGCACCCAAATCGATATCGAAAATCAAAATCACACATTAAACAAGAAATTAGCCTTTCATTTTTCTTCAACTGTCTTCTTTTGACCTGACCATTCTTTAATTCTCTTGTCAGCCAATGAGGCCTACAAAAAAAAAAAAAGGAACACGATACAAATAAATTAAGTTTGTTCGAATAGTTGAGGCTTGTTTAAATGATAAGCCAATAAATTACTAATAATAAATAATTGGTGTCATGTAAATTACCTCTTTGTCCCAGTTGGTTCTGTAAGAAATTAAGAACAAAACCATGGTTTGTACCACAGTTCCACTCATCATGCCTACCCATATACCCTGTAAATAATATCATCAATTGTTAATTTACTGATATAAATTTTTTTAACTTTTAAAACATTAAAATGATTTAAAATTACTAAAAATGATTTTACCTTTATGCCCCATCCGGCTAGAAATCCCAGAGAGAGCCCCAACGGTACGCCGAATATGTAGTAGCATGCAATATTTATATAAGCGATTACTGCTTGCCATCCTGCCCCGATTGCTACCCCTAAATTGTATCACAATAAATCATTTAAGTATTAAATAATTACAACCCAAAATATAAAAAGATTGAATTAAATCATAAGCATTCAAAATAATCATTATTGGATGATATTTTTACTAAATTAACCATATTTTTTTTAGCTAATCAACAAAATGCCACCAATTGTCCAATTCCGTATTGGTGGACGAAATTGCTTCCCGCCATAAAAAACCTTGTCTTTTTTTTTTTTTTTGTGGGAATCAGTTTCTAGAATTTTTGGAATCATCAAGTGACAAGTAGGGAAATTGTTGGTCTTTTATGTGATTGAAGAAAAACTGATTATTTTTGGTTACTTTTGAAATATGGAAAATAACATAAAATATAGTAAATGACATGTTGGATTATGAGTTTTTTGCTTTGAAATAAAAGTTTTAAAGTCGTTATTTTGTTATTCCTTGAATTAAAATACTACAAAAATACAAAAAAGATAGAGTGATTGAAATTAATAAACTTACCAGAAAGTGCCGGTTGAATATTATTAATGACAAGGCAAGCTGCTAATAAAGGAGTGAGAGCATAAACCGCTTCTTGAACTTCCAAACTATCAGCAAATATGGCAGGATACTGATGCCGGAAAATTACCAGAAGAATGGCCAGACAAGAACCGAATATAAATGACGAAATTACCACCACCCCAATTGCGAATTTCGCAGCTCTTGGGTGCCCTGCCCCTAATTCATTTGATACCCTCACACTGCAACCATAAATAAAAATAATTTATTTTTTTAATAATACATCTGTTTTTAGTAATTAATAAAAATATTAACTTAAAACTCACCTTACGGCTATGTTAAATCCGATTGCTATCATAACTGCCCATCCAACAATGTTTGTGCTGCAATAGTTATTCAAAATGCATTATTATTACCAAATAAAACACATCAGTGTTAATATCGATTAAAATAACAAAATATAACACGATAGATTTTTATCTTTTTTTATACTGTATGTAACTTATAGTTGATTGGATAATGAAATAAAAAATTACTGCCGTTTACTAAAAAGACAATTAATATATCATATCATGGTGATCCGTCTTGCACGCTATGATTAAAGGCATGTAATGATGACTACTTTTTTTATACACTGTAAACGAAAGTCTCCACGAAAGTGGAAAACTAATTTAAAAAATATTGTCACAAAAGCAAGCTAGTTAAATCTATGTCGTATCGTAAGGTGTCCTTTATCAAATTTTCTACTCCTACCAATTTATTTATTGAAAACTGTAATCTCCGTTTTGCATGCATTCTCATGTGATGTCAAAATAAGGGATGGCGATGTTTTTAACCCATTCCCATAATTCCATACATTACGAATATATATATATATATATATATATATATATATATATATATATATATATATATATATATATATATATATATATATATGGGATAATGTCATAAAAAGCCTTAAGTTTGACAGAAAATATCAGTTTTACCCTTCGGCAGATTTTTGGTTCGTTTATACCGCAAATTTGTTATTTTTTTTTTGTTGGTTTTGCCCTTGTTGCTGCAATAGCAGGTTTCCAGGTAATTATGAATTATTTTTTTACAAAAAAACCCTTAAGTTTACAAATATTTTGCAAAAAAACCCTTAAGATTATAAACATATAAAATATAAATATATATTCAAAATTTTATAAAACTAAATAGTTTTCTACTAAAATATATTTTTATCTTTACATACGGTAATTTTTATATTTGTTTGATATAAACTTTTTATATTTAAATTTTAAAAAACTTACCTAGTTTTAACAAAATTTGAATATATTTCTTAATTAATACTTCAACTTTTCAAAACAAAATTAAAAAACATTTGTTAGTTAATACGTAATTATGCTAAAATAGTTATTATGAATAATATGGTATCATGTACACTCAATTAATTTTTTTAAAAGGTAAATAAAAATATTTTATATGTTTAAAAGGTTTGTATTTCAGAAATACTAACATATCGTATTTTTTATATGTTTAAATATATAATAATATTATCATATTTTTTTATAAAAATATCATAAACATGTTAAACATCAAAAACAAATATAAACATTTTAAACATATAAAATATAAATATATTTGTCTAATTTATTATATAAATATATTTATTTTTATATAAAATATGATAGTTTATTATTTCTGAAATTCAAACCTTTTAAACATATAAAATATTTTTAATTTTCTTTTAAAAAAAATTAATTGAATGTCACTAATGTTATATTATTATTAGCTAACAGACGTTTTTTAATGTTATTTTAAAAAGTTTAAGTATTAATTAATAAATATTTAAATTTTGATAAAACTAGGTAACTTTTTTAAAATTTAAATATAAAAACTTTATATCAAACAAATATAAAATTTACCGTACATAAAGCTAAAAATATGTTTAAGTAGAAAACTATTTAGTTTTATAAAATTTTGAATATATATTTATATTTTATATGTTTATAATCTTAAAGATTTTTTTGCAAAATATTTGTAAACTTAAGGGTTTTTTCGCAAAAAATAATTCATAATAACCTGGAAACCTGGTATTGTAGGTAACAAGGGCAAAACCGACAAAAAAATGACAAGTTTGCGGTATAAATGAACCACAAATCTGCCGAAGGGTAAAACCGACATTTTCTGCAAAACTTAAGGTTTTTTATGACATTATCCCTATATATATATATATATATATATATATATATATATATATATATATATATATATATATATATATATATATATATATATATATATATATATATCTTTACTACTTATAAAAGAAATCTAACTATTTCTATAAATAGATTGAATATAATAATATTATTTTTTTAAGACGTCCAAACTATTAAGCTTGAAGTACAACCCATTTATAATATAATAATATTAAAACTTTAACCCTATCCTTTATCACTAAAAATCTCGTATCAAATTAATAGAAGAATTCATTTGCAAATTGAACCCGTCAATCTCAACACTTCAGTTATTTGAAGCGGTCAATGTCAACAATTTATAGAGGATCTCTTCTCTCACATTGGTAACAAGCCATCTCATAATATCTATCTTCGTAATCCCTTCAAAGTAAGAAATATACGCACACTCTCTCGAAGAACCCTAACCAGTAACCAAAACAGTATAACCACCACCACCACAGCCGCTCTGCCTCCTTCCGCCTTCAACCAACCACTATCACGACTACCGTCCTTCCTCTCACCTACGACATGAACTTTCTTTTGGAACATAATATTTTTCTTTAAAAAAATATCGTTGAAAGAAGCTATTTGTCCCCGCCGCTGTGCGCGGGTAACGGCTAGTGTATATATATATATATATATATATATATATATATATATATATATATATATATATATATATATATAGTCACGGATCGGATCTAGTCAACAAGAGGCTGCTCTGAAGTATTTGAAATTTTTTATATTTGATAACTGCAATTCAGGCATTTATAGCGGCCTGTGAATATTTTTTCTAATACTAATATAATACTTGTCATGATTTTTAAATAGCTATAGAACTGAATAAAATTAAAAATTATGTAATGAACAACAGTAAATGTTTAATATGTAATTAAATGAAGTACCATGTGAAAGAGTAGCTTTATCAAGATCAGAAGAGCTTCTAGTTATGTGAATTGTATCATTTCCAATTTTAATTTCCGGCTACTTGTGGAAAGTTGACTTTAATAATATTTTGAGTTTTAATAACTACTAATCAGTAATAGGTAAAAATATAATTTCGCATCAAAAACTTATTGGAAATATAAAAAAATATATTTACTTTGGAAATTCTTTTAAGCATACAGTAACTTATAAAATAAAATGTAAAATGAATAATAAAATGTAAAATGATAAAGATACTAACCATACGGAGAGTGCATCAACTGCAATTTCAGCATTCTTTAAATATCCAGCAAAAAGTACCAATGCCATAAAATACCATGTTTCCAAGCTGCATCAAACATTTAAAACTCATCAAACATTAATATTGTTATTTATGTTCAATTTTATAAAACATCAACCTTTACTTTTATTAAATAAAAGTACAAGAAAATTTGAAAAGTTCAAAAGACTTGTAGTCTAGAAACTTTCGATTTAATAAAGTTAAATTTTTGTATAGGTGACTTTTATCTAGAGACTTATCGAATAATACCTAACATGTTCGACAAAACATCTATAGCTTCTAAAGTTTAAACTATTATTAAAAAACAATCATCAAAACGAATTTGAATACCCTAGCTATAACCCTATTTTAATTATTTATTTGTAACAAAAAAAAAACATATATTATAAATTTTAAACAAATTTAAATCTTTTTAGATATCACTATCCTTTTATTTAGATGGTTAAACATCATTATATGATATCTAGAAGTTTTAAAACTGAATAATTGAAAAATGTTAAATGAAATAAATTTAAATCGATCGACAATGATTGCTATTTTTAAAATAATAACTGCAAAATTGAAAAATAAGTTATTAACCTTAAAATTATAAATACTATTCTAATTAATGCAGTGTCGGCAGATAGATGTCGTTCAAGATTTTCTGAACCATATTAACTGCTATTATAATTTTTAAATGTTATTACTTATTACATCATTTTATATATAGCACTAGGTATTAACTTTCAATCCTCTAATCATATAAATAAATCAAATAATCTAAGTGTTTCTACTAGTATTTTATATTGTTATTTATCTCATAATTAATAGACCCATTATATTACTACAACAAACAACAAACATGCATGTACATTTATAATTTATTACTTATTTAAGTATACTCCCAATGACAATCTTTATCTAAAGGATTTAATTAGTATGCATGTTGGTAAAATATCTGATATGATCAAATATACACCACAAAGATTAATAAAAAACAATTTAAAAAACGTAAAGAAACAAACAAACACAAGTCAATTTGTCTTACCACAGCATGACAGCTGACGCGAAGGACAGCTTCACAAAGCTCCATAGATTATTGAAGGCAGCGAAGCTAAATCCCGACCATGCTTCACCACATGAGCCTCTGAATATATACACCATCTGAGCCACCACGATGAACCACCACGACGCATTCAGCACCATAGCTCCGCCGAACAACCCCCACCCCAACTTCAACATGAAAAGCCAGCTAAAAAAGGTATGCAGCACCAACGCCGTTCCCGTTATGTAAGCCAACACCATTATCCTACTCTGAGCTTGAAGAAACTTGGCCATCGGAAAGTTTAAAGCGTAAGCAAACAGCTGCGGAATCATCCATAACGCCATCCTCCCCGCCGCATGAGCTATATCTTCCTTTTGTCCGATCAATAGAAGCACCGGAGTCGCGAAGATGTAGAGGGACAGCATAAGGAGAGCGGTGGTGATCAGAATAATCCACGATCTTTGCATATATACTCCCATCATGTTAATCTGACCTGCTCCATACGCTTGCCCACACAGTGTCTCCAACGCGCTGCCCATTCCAAGCTGTGGATTAATATAATATGATTTCATCATAAACAGTTAATACACCCATCGATTAACGTCTAAGTTAGGGAAATCTTTTGATTTCAAAACCCTTAGATGAAGTAAATTACGAACCATGATCCCCAATGAGAAACCTGCAATGACTGAGTTTTCGACGGAGAAAGCTGCGAGATCAAGAGTTCCAACATGACCGGCGAACGTTTGCGTGACAGCACCGAGAGAGTATCGGCAGACAGCGGTGAAGATGGCGGGGCCGGCGAGGTACCACATCCTCTTCGATTCGATTCCAAATTGTCTAATGAACTCCTTTACTCCGGTTACCGGAGGACTATCTTCGACGCCGGTGCGGAAGTGGGCGTTCGTTGAGACATTTTTAGAGGTAAGAAGCGGTGCATCTGCGTCGCTTTCCATTGAAATTGTTCGCACCTTTTGACTACTCTACTGTTGAGTAGCGTGTGAGAGGAAGGAAAGAATCGAGTTCCTGTAGGTTTCAGATCCAGTGATGAACTGATGATAAATATATGTATATATATCGAGAGAGAGAGAGAGAGATGAACGGAGAGCAACCAACCCTCCAATGAGCGTCGAGTTGGTAAGATGGGTGTCTGTAGTAATTCCTGCGATTTAGCGTAGATATCAAAATGATTTCGTACTTCTCAAATAAAGATAATATTTAACTTTTTCTTATTTTATAGAGCGGCAGATAATATTTGAACGACCACCAGTAAAATCGTCAAACATGTGCTCCTATACAATAATAATATTTAGGGATAATGACTTAGGAGGGTACTAAGGTTTCCAACTTGTCCGTATTAGATCATTAAGATTTTTTTTGTGCGTATTAGACCAATATGGTTGTTATTACCGTTTAGAAATAGTCCTTTTACCGGTTTTAACGGGTAAAAATGACTATTTCTAAACAGTAATAACAACCATATTGGTTTAATACGCACAAAAAAACCTTAGTGACCTAATACAGACAAACTGGAAACCTTATTACCCTCCTAAGTCATTAACCCTAATTATTTAGAAAACATGCTTACTAATCAATGTGAATGATTTGTTTGACTGAAAATAGTTGCTTCCATTTAAACTTATCTCACAACTCTTTTAGAACTTCTAAGTCCAGAAACTCATATGATTGATGATCTTCATTACATAAATATGCAACATTTTATCAATAACTTCTTTTTTGTCATTTAAATGTTTACATGAAAACATCCATATGTACAAAAACAAAATCTTACTTTGATACCTCCCATCAATGTCTACATTTGATAACGAATGAAAATGTAAAACCAACGGGGACTTGTATAGGATGTCTATTATCAATTATTTTATAAAAAGCAAAACCACAACATGAACTAAGAAACTGAAGTTGCAAAATGAATAAAAAAATCAGCACATAAACAACTACATACATATTATATACAACACATAAACAGAAGTTTATAAAGCATGAAACTTAATGACAGGAAAAGTAAAAAACTTAAAGGAGACTTTATAGAAAGAAAGATCACCCTTACTTGCCATAAATGGTTGAAGACATCAATAAGAAGATCAATCTGACCATATAATCCACATGTTGTCTGATCATGACTTCAGTAGATGAACTACTGAAACGTAAGAATTGCAATTGAACTTTATTAGCATTTGAAAAGGGAATTAGGGTTCTAGAGAAGACGACGAAGGGTTAAAAAATATTTTGGACCATTTCTCGATTTGTGTGTGTCATCCTTGCGCAGGGGCCATGCTAATCTTCTATGTATCGTTCCAATTTTATCGGATGTCCCTAAAGGGACAACTATAGATGAAGAGCTTCGCCATATAGAGGAGTAACAGGTTATATGAGACGACGCGAGTTCTAAACGAAGTAGTTTACTGTTGATGGTCATATATTCTCAATGTATTTAAAATTAGGGTTAATGACTTAGGAGGGTAATAAGGTTTCCAGTTTGTCCGTATTAGGTCACTAAGGTTTTTTTGTGCGTATTAGACCAATATGATTGTTATTACCGTTTAGAAATAGTCATTTTTAACCGTTAAAACCGGTAAAATGATTATTTCTAAACGGCAATAACAACCATATTGGTCTAATACGCACAAAAAAAACCTTAGTGACCTAATATGGACAAACTGAAAACCTTATTACCCTCCCAATTCATTATCCCTAATATTTACGATAATTAGAAATTAAAATTACATTTGAGTATTTTAATAAACTAAGTTAATCAAACTTCGTTCTATGGTATGTACAAGAAATCCAATTATACAACAGAAAATAATGAAATAAAATAAAACTACGGCTCAATATTCTTGAAAATATGAGTATTAAGAAAATACCAAATAATCAACGGTATCGATGTACGAACAATCATATCAAAACTATTATTTTTAACCAATATAAACACAAATCATCGACCCACCAGATTCAATCATCGACCATCGTAGAGACGGGTTAACAGTGAACAACCATGTGCTATAATGAACTCACCATCTCACAACACCCGAACAAACGATCGACAGTCTTGGTACTATCTCTATCTATCATACATAATATGGAGTCAATATCGACTTTTCACTTTCAAATTACCCTTACTCGGAATTCAATCAAGAATGATAAGTCTACCTAATACGTTCACTTTTATTGGAACTAATTTATTCCATTTGGTCCATAGTATGCATAAGTATCAAAATCATATATTTAAAGTATGACTAAACTACCATGATAACCATACCTACCCGTTTTATGATAGAGATCAAATGTGATTGAAAACGACATAAAAGAGCTTAATCCTTTAAGATTTGAAGCCCCAATCATAGATCTGAGTCCCTTGAAAGGTCTTAATCCATAAAGTCGATTACTTGGTGGCTTGCATGCCCCCAAATAAGCCCAAACTCCAAAAATAACATTCTACTTCCATGAAAATGACCTTAACTCTTGCATGAACCCATTAAGACCTTCAAGATGACAACTTTCTATCTTAAGGACTCAAATAGCACCAAGGTTGGCAACCCTAAACCTAGGAAACAAATTTGAACCATAAAGCTTCATCCTTGGGACCAAAAAGGTCTAAAAACGCAACACAAGAGATCTAAGGAATAACCACCAAGTTTAAGACTTTATACCTCAAATGAGAGTCAAATGCTAAGGAGGTTCTGGATCTAAAAGCTCTATCTTCTTCAATGAACCTTCAAGAGTGAACACCTTCTTCAAGAGCACCAAAATACTCTTTTAATGGCCTTCTAAACTTCAAGAACACACAAGGAAGGATTAGGGTTTCGTGGTAGCTACTTAAGGGTGAGAGGGAGGCTGATATTAAAGGCATAATGTTCCTTATATAGTGCCAAACCCTAAAATCTAGGGTTTTGGTCTGAAGGGAGTACATCCCGCGTACCTCTTAGTACATCCGACGTACTCACAAACCACCCGCGACCAAATGACCTTATATGTTGGGTGTAACCCAACCTACGTTGGGCGTTCCCAGCTAGGCGCGTGCATGCATCCTTGCATGCATGGGAGTGATCTGGCAACCATCTCCATTAGGGGCTAATTCTACCAAAACCTTCAAAGTGTCATAACTTCCTCATCCGAGATCCGTTTCCAACGAACCTTATATCCACGAAAAGGTGGCAAGAATCCCTACGCTCCTAATAACTAGCCCAAGACTTAAAACCTTCCGAACAAAAACCAATACCCATAAAGGACCGAATCATCAGATTACGGTTATACCCTTGGCCTTTGAAGAAATCAAGAAACCATCGAATACCTGAATCACTTATACCCTAACACCCACATCTGAAATGGGCCAAATCCTTCCTTTCCCAAGGCCCTAAACCTTATGACGACTAATGATTAGGCCACAACTCCGAGAAATGAAGCACCTTCAAAACCGGGTGTTACAACTCTCCCCCGCTTTAATTAGATTGCGTCCTCAAAATCGTTCCTTACTAACACCCCAATCAAAACCACAATCTGGAGATAAACAACCCTGAGCCTCTGAAAGAAGCCACTTTACCTTTATGAAATTGGAAATTCGCATTGGTCTAACTTTCTGACAGACCACCCATGCTGAGATTTACCATGCTTAATCTTCCTAGAATGACCAACCAAATGTCCCTGTAGAACACTTATACTTGACAGAAGGCTCAGATAATCCTTCAAGTAGAAGATTCGTCCCTGCAACGGTTAGACTCAGACGAGCGTTGTGCAACAAGGTGAAATAAATTACTCTGAGATTATTTAATCCTACTGCAAGTGATTTAGCACCTTCGATCATCAAGCTACTCCACACATATGAATCCCCAAATCAATACTACTGCCCGAAGCATCACGCTGCCTCCTATCTACTTTCCGAAGGCAACCGAGACCTCCCTGGTCCCAAACTTATTTGGAATACTAAATTCCTGTTTGGTTGCTGAGCGAAGAGCAACCTCACAGTTTCCCCACACGACTTTCGAAGAGAACTTCGGCTATCGAAATCTGCCCTAATCATATTGCCACTCATGGTTCCATTATTCCTTCTGATCTTCCCGATCATAACCGTTAGACTACCTGTCGCTATTGAATCTAATACGAAAAGTGAATGCTACAAAACCAATGTAGTCTTACATTACGCTTGGTCTCCAACGACCTACCATTTCCCGAATCCGATCATACTGTGGCCTACTCACCTCTGTGCGACTGACCCGCCCTGACTAAATCATCTGAAGGAGTCCGTGAGTGAATCACATATATGTCACATTCTCACTATCGAATAGGGACCGATGAATGCTACGGGCCACCCCGCAGTCTTACAACACTCTCATACTTACTGGCCACTAGTGAATGCTATGGGCCACCCCCACAATCTTACTATATGTGACACCCCCATTTTCACGACGAGAAAAGACCGATTTATTTATGCTTTGTTTTTAAAATCAGAGTAATCTTTTAAAGAAAATAGTTGCGGAATTTGTTCCCAAAACAAAATATGATAAGAATTTATCAAATCATTTCTTTAAAGAAATGTATTCTCATTATATAACAAAATCTCGGTATGTCATGTTCAATACAAACCAAAAGCATAAACAGAACAATATAGACCTTACAATAGTTATTCATAACTACTGGCCTATAATCCAAAATCTCTCGTTATGTCAGCCAACTTATGCTCTCGTACCATAACCTGTAATACAAAGAAAACTGAGAGGGTCAGACTTGGGAGCCTGGTAAGCATATAGGGTTTTCAACACACAATAATATAATTATTATATTCACTTATCAAATAATCAATCCAATTACCCACCCCCATTATCTTCCTTTATTTCTTAAAGATTTATATTAAGAACCGATTTCCATTCTCCCATTCATTCCTAAGGATTACCCTAAGGAACTGCCATAAAGTCTAGTGCTGCTAAGGTTCTTAGAT